CCATGTTACGCAAGTATATACTAACACCGGTCGGATGGATGTTCTGTATATTAACAGCTTAGTATGTAAACTGATATCTGAACGAGACCAGAGTGGCTAGGAGCCTGAATGCATTTCGAGCCTGCGCCAATCGGTTTCTTCTTTGGCCTGTCCATTGGCTGGTATATTAGAGCCCAATTAGCGGAAGCAGCTAACTTCGGTCCCGCTAAGCGCACTGAAGTACTACGACTGCCTCCTATGCGGACGTCTGTAAATTTTTAATCGGAACCTTATCAACAGCAGAAGGCATCTATCTGTGAGGATGCACACTGTCGCAATGTCTTACCGAACCGTCTCCTTTTTCCTAGTAAGTAGTTTTCAACTCTGTCTGCACCATCTAACCCATCTTCGCTACATGTGACACAGGAGGGATAATATGACTGTCTTTCCTTCTCGGCACACTTTTGCTGTCCTCTACGGGAATTTTATCCTCCTCCTTGTGCTGTTGCTTTCTGGTAGTATCTCAAACAGATCGGCCAAATGCCTGGGCGATCTGTAAGCCGTTTACTGTTTTTGCACTTCCGAAAACTCTTGTTTGTTTACCGTTTGTGCACAGCCTGTTTGTTATAGGTAGTCCCCCCAGTCGCTGATTTATGCTATTTCGAAGACTAACTCGGTGTGTGTGCTTTTTGATTTCTTCTTTCCTCCCCCCCCCCTGTTTTATCCTTCCCAAAAATAGTGTAAGTCATAACACCCAAGACCAATTGTTTTTTTTTCGGATTTCGTCTTAATGCCTTCTTTCCGTGTCTAGGTCTTCCAACCTTCGACTATCATCTGACGCCACGCGTTCGCGGAGTGGAAGTTGTAATAAATAACATGCGCACTCACCTGGATGCCGTCTATGATGTCACGGTTGTTTTCGGTGACGAGAACGGGCGCTGTCTGGACAAAAAGAGGCCCATGCCCGGCCTGTTCTGTAAGTTTTGATTTCCTCATCTTGGTATCATTGTTTGCCCTTGCAAGTCAATAGAAGCAATAAAACCCCGACACAGGTCAACCTCATGCATCTTATAGTGACTAGGTTGAGTGGATAGTCACATTAGGTAGCAGACCAGTGTGTTTCTCTCTCTCGCGCGGTCCTATTTTATAACTACCATGCTTCGTGTTTCTTGCTGTGACTGTCGCATGTTAGAAGTCTTGGCAAAGCATGCTGGCGATATCCTACAACACTGTATATTTGAGAGGCAAGCTCCAAGCTAGCTTTTACTACAGCCTCTAGTAGGATTATCTTGGTGCTGTCAAATTAGTAAGACATCTTAGGCAGAAATAAATTATCGAAAAAGACAAGAGAAACCGGAATGGCCATTTCTGGCTTGTTAATCGTCATCATTCAGCTAAATTCAACCCCAGGGGTA